TTTGATGTTAGGCAGAGCCCAGAAGCCAAATGAGAGGATGGCTGGTGCCCGGTTCACACTTGCATTACCTACCAGGCCACCACAGCTCTTTGAAGGTTTCATTGATTTTATTGTTGATAAAACTCAAGTTGCCATGAAATCAGAAAGGATTTACCAAAGTAGACATCACCAAATATGGAGATATATTATGAAATAGAAACTGAGCATGTTCATAGCACAACACAGACAGAATAACTTGCCTTGAAAATTGTCACACATTTTCAAATACAGATCTACGAAGCAGCACTTTACTTTGAATATATAATCATTAGCATGATTTAAGACCATATTTCATAATTTTTAATAGAAATGCCAAAATCCCTTGCATTAGAACATAATTACCTTACATCATGGCTGTGTGTGACAACGGGTGAGTCTGCAAGAAATTTCACGCTTTCCTCTTTCCTGACACTTATCTGGGTTTGTTCAGCCATTGTGTGATTTTCTCTAACCTCTCTGCCCTTTCTTCTTGGAGATAACATGTTTGTTTTTCACATTTTTTTCAAAGATTAGCTGGTAGAACCATTCCTTCTTCTATTTTCCCTCACCAATCTTTGTCACCATCACCACTACAACTACAGTCTGAAGCTCCAGTAAGTTCCCCTGAACCCTGCTCAGAAGCCACTGCCCCTGAAGCTGGCAACTGGTGCTTATTTTGAACCAGCTGGGCAGATGGCATATTCAGGATTTAGATTTTTAAGTAATTTCTAAACGATCAATTAATTTCTTGAGATATTTTAAAATATCATATATATATATTACATATTTTCTTTTCTAGACTACCTTTTTATCCTCACAATTTAAAATCAGATTCTGTCCAAATACTCCTAGGTGGTCTTATGTAGAATGTGAGTTCACATTTTCTTTCTTTCTTTTTTTTTAATTCATTATTTATTTATTTATTTATTTTTTGGTCAGGGCTGGGTTTGAACCTGCAACCTCCGGCATATAGAGCCAGCGCCCTACCCTTTTGAGCCACAGGCACTGCTCGCGAGTTCGCATTTTCTAAGATCTGATTGATATGGGAAAGAAACCAGGAATATACAGTAGGATTTTGCTCCTAGTATTAGCTTGGCTATTACTACATTTTATTTTGAATCTTATTTTTAGTTTCTTTACTTTCTTACAGAGTTGTTGCCTACCTATAATCTTTTAAAAATGACTCCCCCAAAACAGAAATAAAAACTAAAAACATTAAAATTATTGACTCTAGTACACTACTCTATACCACTAGATATCTTAGACCCCAGTAGAACTATTTCCTACATAATGCAGTTAATTTTATAATAATCTAGGAACAAATCTTGAAACGTCACATTTTCCTATTTAAGGATTAAGAAGTCTTAATAGGTTTATGAAAACAAAAGTAAATGAACTTGTCACTCTATACCCCTACGAATCCAAATGACTGATATTTTCTTAACTTAAAAATGTGATACAGGTTGGAATGTTTAATTAAGTCACGAGCTTTTCAAAGTCCGCAGACATGTCTAATACTTCCCATAGGGCACACATTGTAATTACTCTTGAGCACGTAACAGATTGGAAATAAATATTTTTGATTAGTTATTTTTTTCTGGACTTAGATAACTATCTAAATATCTCCTTTTGTCATGAGGTAAAGATCAAGGTTAAGACACACACTGAACAAGAAGTGTGAAGACACAGCATGGTCATACTTCTTTAATCTTAATGTTAGGCCTGACATGGTAAAACAATCTATATTGCCATGCCTTACAAAAGTGAAGCAAATGAATTTATTGAGCAATATTTTCTGCAAAGTTGTCTGACTACAGGACGACAGAAGAGGCCCTTGACCCAGGCTTCATTAGTACACCAGGAGTGCCTTGAATGCTTCAGTCATTTTTTTTTTCTATTGAATAAAATTCTATTGAATTCCTTAATGCTTGCAGATACAAACTTCAAAGAAATGCATTCAATCTGTGGACAGTCAGGTCTAGCTGAGGAGAATCTTCAGAAAACCTTGACTGAAGTTTGGTCAAGACCAGAGTCTTTGTCCACATACACGTGTTGGGGTTTGTATAGGTTGTGTGTGTGTGTGTGTGTGTGTGTGTCTGAATGTGTTATGTTTTAGTGCCTACTAGACATCTACATTGCCATACTGAGTAGACAAATATATAAATTTAGAATATATAGAACTCAGGGGAGATATTTAGGGCTGGACATAAATATTAAGTATATAAAATTTGATCACAAGTGCAATGAGATCAAGAAGGGAATAAAGAAATCTTAAGACTAATCCAGAACTCGGAGGGCTGGAAGAAGGAGACATGGGAGGAAACATTAAAGAATGGAGAGAAGCCAGGATTTGCAAATTACTTTTCAGGGAGCCTTACCACAGAGACAAACTAAGGAATCAAGTAGTAGTCGGAGTAGAATGAATATGATTATTAAAACAAAGATATGGCTGTAGTTGTCGTAATAGTTACAGACACAGATATGGACATGGTTCTAGTTAAACGCACAGATTCTTCTCTTATTTCTGATCTTTAATTGGTTCCCCCCCCATTATCCAATATTCTACCATTTTACCAAATTTGCTTCCACTGCCATTAATCTCTTTTCTCTTCTGTTTTAACCTATGACAATTATCAATGCTTGAAAGTATAAAATTCATTCACGTTTTGTCTGTTTCTCCCATTCAAATCTAAACTTCAAGAGAGGAACAACCTTGTTTTAATTCATTATTATAAAAAGAAGTGTGAAGACACAGCATGGTCTTCATATTTAATGAGTGCATGAATAGAAGCCTGCCCGTTTGTGGGGCAGTATGTGTGTGCACAGGAACACACAGACACACACTCACACACACACTTCCATTGCAGAGTCAGATGAGTTTCATTTAATGATTAAAAAAACCAAAATAATGTAAAAATCTTCCTTCCTGTTCAAGTAATGTTGCAGAGAGGCACAGCATCATGGTAATCAATAATTTACACAGAATTTATGTTTATTTAATCAAGTGTTTACTAAGGTAGATTTTTCCTATCTACGCCCGTGGCTTTATTTCAGCTGTGTGGCCAACAGTCTCAACAGCTAAGGTCTTATGATCTGGATGCTAAGAGAATACATTTTACAGGGCAATATGTGATTGTTATTATCACTATTAAATATTTCATTTTATAAAGAACAATGAAAACACTCAAAGCAGAGACAAACATGATGGAACACCCCCCTCAAAGTAATAAGAAACTGGATTTTAAGTAACAAGTAATATCAGTAAATTAAACCTAATGGTAACATAATAGAAGCAAATTTGTTTCCTATTAGGTTTTCAAATACTGTTGCTGGTAACCTAACATGCTCACAGGGAAAAAGGAATCTAATTTACAATGTTATGAACAGGAAAATATGTCCAAATGAATGAAAAATATATACACTCATCTATTTCCAAAGAAGTGGAAAGACTACATGGAGGTTCCCCATGTGCAAAGTGAACTAGGAAAATTCTCCAGCCTGGAGATAAACAGATAACTCAGGAAAATATAAGTTATAAAGGAGGGCTTAGCCTATGACGGGAGTTCAGGGAGACAACCTCTGACCTAAATCTTAAGGACTAAGAGTAAGAGAGGAAACGCCCACAGTATGAAGTTCACGTCGTGAGAGTAAGAGATATTTGGAGAATATCTAACAAGAACAATATAAAAGACCGCATGAAATTACACAGTATATCATATAATTATATGTTATATGTGTCAATTTGTCCTCTTATATAAAAGAGGTTTGTGGCAGGAAGCAAAAGCTCTTCTCCCAGCTAGATGCAGGTTCTATCACCTCCTCCATAAGTCTGATATTTTCACTCAATGTAGTCAGAGAAACTAGAGGCAGGAGGAGTCACAAGAATGTTTCATTTCTAAAATTATATACAGTATAAAGGAACCAAAACTTACCCCAAAGAAAAGCCCAGCAGCAATTACACTTTTTGCAATTTTTTATAATTGACGATTGAGCCATTCTATAAGAGGACCCAAATGGCATGCCCGGCTCACACTCCAAACATAGCCTTACTACGATAAAGACAAAATATTTTCTTCAGGACATATTCACCCAGTTCAGTGACATTTTTCTCTATAATTCCCTTGATTTAACATGTCTTATTTGATGGTTTGAACGCAGAACTTCTCAGCAATTTTCCAAGTATTCCCGTAGTCAGAAATAAATCTTTAAACATTTCATTTTCCGCAGTAATGTTATCAAATCATAAAAGTATGGGCTGGTTGGTCCAATGATACTACCAGCTACGTTTACCTTTCCCAGGAAATTTTCTGAGATCCTATATGAGTAAATCTCTACAAATAGCATTTCTCCCAAACACTGAATTCTCACATACAGAAAATTGCTATCACTTTATGAAATGGGAAATGATGTAGTTCAGAGGTGAAATGCATCATTGCCAACATCAAATTTGATATATTTCTTAGCTTATTGTTCTCCCGGAGGTCAGGTGAGCTGTTTACTATCATTGAAATATTTCAAGAAATAGGTAGGATTCCGTTAGATTGCAGATAAGTATTTGAAATTGCTTCAGGTAAGAGGATCAAAGTGAAATAGAGCAGAGAGATGAAGATATAATGGATGTGATTAGTTGATATGACTGAAGGAAGAAAGGGGAAACAGCCAGAGCATTATAGAAAATGAACACACACGTATACTAACATCCTACAGAGGACGCATTAAAAAGTGAAAAGATTTGATAGCAACCTACACAAAGGACTACATAAAGAAGGAAAATACAGAATGTATGTTCTGAATAAAAGGAAGGGGGGCAACAATTGATTTTTAAGTAGACAAAAGAGACAGGAAAAAGTGCCACAGGCTATTCCCAAGGGTGAACATCATAGGAAATGATGAAAGAGGAGGTCATATGTGCTGTAAATTGGACATATCGCATTACAGGTAACCTCTCGTAGGTGTTAAATATCAAATTCAAAGTTCAGTACCTTGGCTTTATCTCTCATTGATCCTTTCCCCAGGATAGACATTTTAGCACCTGTTTCTTCCTGTAGCCTCTTCAAGGAGTTTCCTCTTGGTCCAAGCAATTTCCCCACAAAATTGAACTAGGAAACAAAATCAATAGAATGTCTGTTTTAAAGTAGAGTAAAAAGATGATTTGCTTCAAGAATAATCAAGGGGTTATGGGTTTTTCAAACTTTCCCACTGACAAAAGAGTTATGTCATACATACACACATATACACCCGCTCCACAATACTAGGTCAGACCTCCAGTCCAAAACCCATTTAAAAAGGGGTACTTCTTTCTTTAGGATGGACAAGATCAATACTATGTTGGATTTATCATTTACTGAAAATATCACATAAATACTTATTAAGGAAAGAAGTTGGAGAAGATTACTAATTTATACAATTTCTAAGGTCCTTTTATCTCCAACTAAATTAGTGAAATAAGAAACAATTTTAACATAAGTCTGTAAGACTTTCGAACTTGCAAAAGTTAGTATTTTAAATTGATTTCTAAAGTAAAATTTAATATTCATGTTTGGTAAATATTGCCTATACCCTAACATTCTACTAAAAATTTCATGATTTGGAATTAAGGGATTCAATTATTCTTCAGTTTTTGGCCATGCCTGGGTTTGAACCCACCACGTCCGGAATATGGGGCCAGTGCCCTACTCCTTTGAGCCACAGGCACCTCCCTCAATTATTCTTCACTCTTACATTCTTTAAAGAGTTGTTATTAGGATCAGGAAAAAGAAATGTGAACATATGGTGTTAAAAACAGTACATATGGAATGTTTATACAAAACAATTTGTCCACATGGAAAATTTTGAGAGTCCACACAGTCTGTTTATTCATCCTGAAATGTTAATAAAAACTGGTAATTGAAGAGTTAGTTATCAGAATGTATCTGTCAGCAACTACAAAGAATACTAACAAACCAAATGACCAACATCATCATTTGTACCATAATTCAGTGATTAATTTAATAAGTATAAAAAGTTAAGACATCAAAACTACATTGGGACCATGAAGGACAGAGATGAATAAGCTTAAGTAACTGCTTCTAAATCACAGTTTTCCTATTATTATTAAAACAGATGCACCATACCTAATGGCAAAACTCTAAATGACCTAAATCCAAAATAAAATCAAAAGCTGTCTTCTCTCACCACGTTCACTCAATATTGTACAGCAGTATGGACTGTTGTATACATTGGTAAGTAGATAAATGGAACAGTATAATGTCCAAATAGTCTACACATTAGATATTCAATTATGTTTGCCAAAAGCACAGAGGCAAAACAATTTAAAACGTGAAGTCTTTTCAACAACTGGTGCTGAAACAAGTGGATACGTATAACCAGAAAACCAGAAAATATACCAAATGTAAAAGCAAACACAATAAAACCTTTTATGTCCTACCTCACATTTTTGAGATCAATCATAGATCTAAGTGTAAAAGCTAAAATTATAAATATTCTCAGGGGAAAACATACAAAAATACTTTTGCTAACTTATGTTAGGGAAGATTAACAACCTGCTAACCCCAAAACCCATAAAAAAATTCAATAGCTAAGTCACAGACTGAGAGACAATTCTCTCTCTCTTTACATATATGTAATATATTATATATATAATCTATATATATACCCATACATACACATGTGTATATTTATGAAAAAATAACTAGTACCTAGAATCTATATAGAACTCCATCCAATAACATACACACCCACATGTACATGCCCTGGAATGGTTAAAACTGGAAAAATACTAATGTCAGATGTTGATGAAGATATGAAATTACTTGAGCAATCACTATTGACAGCAACTTTAGAAAGAAGATTTTCAGTTATTTATAAAGCTAAACATAGAGCTCCACTATGACTTAGCAATATCACTGCTAAATATTTTCCAAGAGAAATAAAAACATCTGTTCACACAACAACTGGCATAAGCATGCTCATGACATTGTATTCACAATCACCATTAATTAATTAAAACCAGTGCTCATCATCAGAGAACGGAAAAACAAGTTTATAGCCAAGAGAAAAGAGTTAATTACTGATTGCACAGCAATACAGGTATATCTCACAAATATTTGAGTGAAAGTAGCCAAGCAAAAGCATATCAAGTTACATTCCATTATCACAAAATTCTAGTGGCAAAAATAATATATGGTGTTAGAATTCATAAGAGTGGCTGCCTGTTGAGAATAGAAGCATGAAGTTGGACTGGCTAGAAGCGACATGAAGAAGACATCCGGGCGACAGGATTGTTCTTTATTTTGTTGGAGATATAGGGATAGCTCTATCAAAACTCATCAATCTGCACCCTTAAAAATAGTGCATTTCATTGTATGTTTACAGTATTTAAAATAAGAATGGGGAGAAAACAAATGAGAAGGATGAAAACTCACATACATGGTTAAAAAATAACATAGTATCTATTCTTACATTTAAGTCTTTTACCCATTTTAAGTTGATTTTTGTGTATGATGTAAGATAAGAGTCCATTTGAATTATTTCGCATGTGGAACTAGTTTTCCTCATATCATTATTGAAAAGGTATCCTTTTTGCATTGAGGTATTGTGAAATATCAGTTACCTGTATAAGTTTGGGTTAAATTCTGAGAGAACAGAAATAAAGATGTATGGAACAGAATAGAAAACCAAGAGATGAAGCCAGTCTCCACATGCCATGTGATCTTTGATAAACCAAACAAAAGCATACACTGGGGAAAAGAATCTCTATTCAACAAATGGTGCTGGGAGAACTGGATAACCACATGTAAAAGACTGAAACTAGACCACACCTATCACCCCTTGCAAAATGTGACTCAAGATGGATAAGAGATTTAAATCTAGATGAATAATAAAAATCTTAGAAGAAAGTATGGAGAAAACTCTTGATGATATTGGACTGGGGAAAGACTTTATGACAAAGACTTCAGCAGCCAACACAACAACAACAAAAATTAACAAATGGATTTAATTAAGCTGAAAGTTTTCTGCACAGCTAAGGACACAAGTAAAATAAAAAGACAACCTTCAGAATGGGAAAAGATATTTGTAGGGTATCAATCTGACAAAGGGTTGATAATTTGAATTTATAATGAACTCAGGTTAATCAACAGAAAAAGAGTAAATAATCCCATATACCGCTAGGTAAGAGATATGAACAGAACCATCTCTGATGAAGACAGACAAATGGCTAACATAAGAAGAAATGTTAATCATCCCTGATCATCAGAGAAATTCAAATCAAAACCACACTGAGATATAACTAACCCCAGTGAGTATGGCCCACATCACAAAGTCTCAAAGCTGCAAACACTGGCATGGATGTGGAGAGAAGGGAAACTTCTATGCTGCTGATGGGACTGCAAAATAATACAACTTTTTTAGAAGAAAGTATGAAGAATCCTCAGCGAACTCAAATTAGACATCCTATTTGATCCTTCAATCCCATTACTAGGCATCTTCCCAGAAGAAAAAAAATCACTTTATTATAAGGACATTTGCACTGGACTGTTTATTACAGCTCAATTTACAATCACCAAAATGTGGAAACAACCTAAATGCCCACAAACTGAGAAATGGATTAACAAGCTGTGGTGTATCTATACCACAGAATGCTATTCAGCCATTTAAAAAGATGGAGACTTTACATCTTTTGTATTAACCTGGATGGAAGGAATGTTATTCAGCCATTTAAAAAGATGGAGACTTTACGTCTTTTGTATTAACCTGGATGGAAGTGGAACACATTATTCTTAGTAAAGCATCACAAGAATGGAGAAGCAAGGATCCAATGTACTCAATTCTAATATGAAGTCACTAGATGATCTAATACAAGGGGTGGCGTAGGAGAAGAAGGGATCAGGGAGAGCAGAGGAGGGAGGGGGATGGGGGCATCATGGTGCATGGCACACCTCTTGGGGTTGGGACACAACTATAAGACGGACTTTACCTAACAACCGCAATCAATGTAACCTAATTCTTTGTATCCTAAATGAATCCCAAACAATAAAAAAAAAAAAAGTCAAAAGATAGTGAATATTGGCAAGGGTGTACAACAAAGGGAATTTCTGTACACTCTGGGACTGTATAACAGATTGGTATTGACTTTATGGAAAACAGTATAGAAATTTCTAAAAAAATTAAAAATAGAACTACCATGTGACCCAACAATCCTCCTGGGAATATACCCAAGGGGGGAAACAAAAATCACCTTGTAAAGATACATTTTCATTTTCTTTGTTTCCCACATTCATTCTTTATTATTATTATTGTTGTTGTTATTATTATTGTTTGGGACTCATTGCCAGTACAAAGACTTAGGTTACACTGATAGAGTTTGTTAGGTAAAGTCTTTCTTGTAATTCTGTCCCACCCTCGAGAGGTGTGAGGGACTGGAGAGAGGGGAGGGGAGAGGGGGATGGGGGTCATGGTGTATGCACTTTCATTTTCATTGTAGCTTTACTCACAATACCCAAGATACGAAAAAGAAAAAAACCCTAAGTGTCCATTGAGGAGCCCAGGGGATATTGTGTTAAGTGAAGTAAGCCAGATACAGAAATAAAGTTATTGTAAGATTGCAACTATATGTGGAAACAAAAAAAAAAAAGATGGAAAATCCCCATATATGCAGATAGAGAATGAAACCGTAGTTAACCAGGGATGGAGGGAGGGGTGGAGGACAACCGAGGAAATGGAGGACAGAAGATGCAAGTTACAGATACGCAGGGTGAACAAATGTGGAGATACAGTGTAAAAATGAGAACCTTAGTTAAGAAATAAAATTGTATTTGGGATTCATGTGGAATGAGTAGATTTGAGCTGTTCTTGCTAAAATATTTTGTTTAGTGGTAAATATGTAAGATGATGGATATGTCAGTTTGTTTCACTAGAAAAAGCATTTGACTATCGATCTGTGTCCCATAATGTTATGTTGTATACCTTAAATAAACACAATAAAATCTGTTAAAAAATAAAATGAAATCGACAGGAAAAATTATCATAATAAAAGGTACTAAAAAGAAATACCAGTCCCAAGAGTTGCACAGCGGAATTTCCATAGACTTTTAGGAAA